TTTTTTTTTTATACTGGTAATGGCGGTGATCAGCGACTTATAGCAGGACTGCGGCAGGCATTCTGACACTGTAGGGGGGGGACTGACTTGGTGTCACTGACATCCCCAGTGACACCAATACAGTGATCGGTGCAAATAAAAAGCACTGGCGCTGTACTAATGGCACTGGAAGGGGTTAACATCTTGGGCGATCAAAGGGTTAACTGTGTGCTGTGCTTTACACTGTCAGCACCTGCTTTGTGTGGCTCTGCTATGCAAAGCAGGGTGCAGGAGCTGACAAGGGAGAGATCTGTGTTGTTTTCCCTGTCAGTGATACTTGGCGATCGCCGGGTGCCGGCAGGGAATCACCTGGGGACAGGGGCGGACTGACCATTCAGGCACTTGGGCACTGCCCGAGGACCCGGGGTCAGTAGGGGGCCCCATGAAATGCCCCTGGCACCTTTTATAGGCTTTTGTGGGTGTGCTTTGAGTGTGGGCAAGGACACAGGGGCCCCATGATCCCCTATTACCCGGGGGCCCCATGAGTTATCAGTCCGCCCCTGCCTGGTGATCAACAGCTGAAGCCGCCAATGACGGCGCAGGTAGGGCACGCACACTTCCCCCCCCACGCAGGTAGGGCACGCGCACCCCCCCCCCCACCCGAACATGCAAAATCATATATATAGACGTCATAAAATAACCCCCTTTCTGTCCCTCTTGCCCCCCTGCTGAACAAGGGGGGGGCCACGGGAATTTTCTTTGAAATTGGGATTACTACAGGGGTGCCCAAAAGTCCATTTTAAATGGGCCGGCAATGCGCAAGAATGGACCGAACAAACATACATGGAGGATTTTTGCCTGATGGGGCACAAAGGCATGCTAGCGTGTTAGCGTGTGCTGCAATGGAGCTGTGCTGCCTTGGCGCGTTGGGTGCCAATCAAAATGCGTGGAACGGCACCATGCTAACACGCCTTTTGCATTTTTGATGTCGCTTTATTCTAAATTAGCGCAGCGTTCAACGCGAGCCTCTCCATAAGCGCACTCCTCTGCTGGCCATTTATTATTCGATTTTTGGGGAGGCAGAGACATCGTGCGACTGGCACCAGGAGAGTAATGATCCAATATATGAAAAGCGACTTTACCTTGAGCGATTCACTTGGTAGCGATCGATATCCCGGCTCCTGAGAATGATCCGCTTTATATATAGACCGGTGTTAGCACAGCTTATAAAAATAATGCAGAGATCCAGTAAGTTGTTTGTCTGGCGGAAATACGACCGTTTCTGCTCTTTGAGTCGCAACACCTATAAATGAAATACCCATCTGGTTGAATGGCGGCGCCAGCACATTGTATGGACACATCAAAGTTCTACAGACAGATCTGGATTTGTGCCAGGGTTGCGTTCAGGGTGTAAGGGGGTGTTAGGATAGTTACTAGTTTGTCCACCAGGTGGCACCCCCTCCTAGGATTTAAATAGTGGGTTGAGTTGCAGAGAGGAGGGAAAAACAGGATGGGATTGGAGGCACACAACCGTGAAAGTAGAACTATGGGCTAAGCAAACATTTACTAAATATAACAGCCATGTCTATACTTGGGACAAACATAGATCTATACTCAAAAAACAACAAAAAAACAACAAAAAAAAAACCAAAAAACACGCCCCCCCCAAAAAGAAAACACGCCCCCCCCCCAAAAAAACACAAAAACAAACAAACCCCAAAACACACACACACAAAAAAACCACTCCCTCTCAAAAAAACCACACATTATATAAAAAAACACCCCCCAAAAAAAAAACCCACAAAAAAACCCACAAAAAGAAAACCCCCCAACCCTCCCCCCCCACACACACAAAAAAAGCCACAAAAAAACACCCGTCCCCCCCAAAAAAAATACACACAAAAAAAACAAACCAGAAAAAAAACACACAAAAACAACCCCCCCCTAAAAATAAAGACACAAAAAAAAAAAAAAAACAACACACACAAAACAACACCCCCCTAAATAAAAGACACCCCCCCCCCCAAAAAAACACACACAACCCCTTCCCCCCCAAAATACTCTCCTTCTGCAGGGTGACTGGTCTTGTCTCCGCCCCCTCCTGTAGTTTTCTCTGGGCTTCCTGTAGTAGGTGGAGCCTACTGGGTCCCTCCCACAGCTCTGCTCTCTCTATTTTTGCAGGGTGACTGGTCTTGTCTCCGCCTCCTCCTGTAGTTTTCTCCACGAAGCCTGTAGTAGGTGGGGCCTGCTGGGTCCTTCCCACAACTCTGTTCTCTCACCTTTGCTTGTTCTGCATAGCCCTGACCCTGAAGAAGTCCAGTCCCTATTTATGACTTCCTGAGACCCCCCATAAGGATCAGCATTAACGTGATTATACAAGTAGCGTGCTGGTGAGTGCACATCCATAGAAGGAGGTGGATTCCTAGGTTGGATCATGAGCACTCTCGAGGATCCCAGCTGGTATTGCTGCAATCATATACAAAAACATGCAGCGCTAGAGTGAATGGATCTATCTCATGATACGGAGTGACCACTTAATGAGATATAAACGCAGCTACCATAATAGTCTTAAGCAACCAATATTATATCATTCTCATAGTTAAGAAGGTGTAAATGGTGATAAAGGTGTCAAAGTCAATCTATCATAGGAGTGACGTAAATCTGTGACATCTGTGGTAGGAAATGTGGCTGTAGAATGCACTAACCAGATAGCGCAAATAAAAGCGCATTGGAGTAAAATGACCTACTCCTGGTCACTGGATCAGGGGACCTGCCGGAATGGTGGTCGTCTCTACTGTGGTCACCAGAGTCATCCGTGTCCTCTGCAGTTATGGAATTCCCAGGTATCCAGTGGAATAAACGCTCATCCGGTATGCAGTAGAATCCTTGTGTCAGCGACCTCCAGGGGTGCGATGTCCGCTCAAGGACCAGGAATCACCTTCAGGGCTCAGAAATAAACCCAAAAAGAGGCTTCCGATAGTGTGATAACTTTTATTATGGAGTAGTAGACAAAAAGCGAACTTACATGGTGCAATATACACTTCCAAAGATGGCCGCCCGTGTCAAGGTGTGGACCATGTGGGTAGTGGTTGTGGGTCAAGTAGCATCTCCCTAACGCGTTTCGTGGCAACTGCACGTTATAAACGCGTTAGGGAGATGCTACTTGACCCACAACCACTACCCACATGGTCCACACCTTGACACGGGCGGCCATCTTTGGAAGTGTATATTGCACCATGTAAGTTCGCTTTTTGTCTACTACTCCATAATAAAAGTTATCACACTATCGGAAGCCTCTTTTTGGGTTTATTTCTGAGCCCTGAAGGTGATTCCTGGTCCTTGAGCGGACATCGCACCCCTGGAGGTCGCTGACACAAGGATTCTACTGCATACCGGATGAGCGTTTATTCCACTGGATACCTGGGAATTCCATAACTGGAGAGGACACGGATGACTCTGGTGACCACAGTAGAGACGACCACCATTCCGGCAGGTCCCCTGATCCAGTGACCAGGAGTAGGTCATTTTACTCCAATGCGCTTTTATTTGCGCTATCTGGTTAGTGCATTCTACAGCCACATTTCCTACCACAGATGTCACAGATTTACGTCACTCCTATGATAGATTGACTTTGACACCTTTATCACCATTTACACCTTCTTAACTATGAGAATGATATAATATTGGTTGCTTAAGACTATTATGGTAGCTGCGTTTATATCTCATTAAGTGGTCACTCCGTATCATGAGATAGATCCATTCACTCTAGCGCTGCATGTTTTTGTATATGATTGTCCACCACGAGGCGTCTTGGAGGCTTGCCTTTCATGCCAGCTGCTTTTATATTTCGCTCTAAAACTGTCCAGCGCTCGTTATACTCCTTTTTCTATTGGTATTGCTGCACCTTGTAGTTCTACGAACACCGGGTATGCTGTGACCTTACACTTACATCTGAATTGATTACTGTGGGTTTGTTACCTTGCCTTTTGTGCTAGCGGCTACCATATTATCTGCGCTCGCCTCATATCTTGTGTTATATCTCTAGTGTTAGTTTTCTGCCACACATTTTGCTTTTAGGCCAGAAAGTTCAGTTTTGGTCCCATCTGACCAGAGCCCCTTCTTCCACATTTTTGCCCACATGGCTTCTCACCAACTGCAAACAGGACTTCTTATGGCTTTCTTCCAACAATGGCTTTCTTCTTGCCACTCTTCCATAAAGGCCAGATTTGTGGAGTGCCGACTAATAGTTGTCCTGTGGACAGATTCTCCCCCCTCAGCTGTGGATCTCTGCAGCTCCTCCAGAGTTTCCATGGGCCCCTTGGCTGCTTCTCTGATGAATGCTCTCCTTGCCGGGCCGGTCAGTTTAGGTGGACAGCCATGTCTTGGTAGGTTTGCAGTTGTGCCGTACTCTTTCCATTTTCGGATGATGGATTGAACAGTGCTCCGTGAGATGGTCAAAGCTTGGGATATTTTTTTTATAACCTAACCCTGTCCTAAACCTTTCTACAACTTTATCCCTGACCTGTCTGGAGTGTTCCTTGGCCTTCATGATGACTGTTTGTTCACTAATATTCTCTAACAAACCTCTGAGGGCTTCACAGAACAGCTGTATTTATACTGAGATCACATGACACACAGGAGGACTCTATTTACTAATTAGGTGACTTTTGAAGGCAATTGGTTCCACTAGATTTTAGTTAGGGGTATCAGAGTAAAGGGGGCTAAATACAACTGCCGCCACACTTTTCAGATACTGTAATTATCTGAAAAAAAATTGAAAACCATTTTTCATTTTCCTTCCACTTCACAATTATGTGTTGGTCTATCACAGTGGTCTCCAAATTGCTGCCTGGGGGACACATGCGGCCCTTCACTTGCTTTTATATGGCCCTTGGGGCACTATTTCCACTGATACCAACTGGGTATAAGTCCCCCCACTTACACCAATGAAGGGGTGACAACTCCTTCCAATGACACCAATGATGAGGCACAATTCCTCCCAGTGACACAAATGATAGGGTCCAATGACATCAATGATGGGGCAGAATTCCTCCCACTGACACCAAACGAAGGGGCATTATTTTTTTCCCACTAACGTCAGGACCTTTTTTACTCCCACTGTCTGCAGTCCGGCCCTCGTAAAGTCTGAAGGACAGTAAACCGGCCCTTTGGGGTCAATCACAAACCCCAACAAAATAAATTTACGTTTTTGGTTGTAACATGACAAAATGTGGAAAATTTCAAGGGGGAGGAAGACTTTTTCAAGGCACTGTATTGTGTTTTGTTTTTTAATTCATTAAAGTGTATTTTTTCCCCCAAAAAATCGAGTTTGAAAAACCTCTGCACAAATAAGTGTGACAAACAATTGCAACGATCGCTTTTTCATTCTCTAATGTCTTTGCTGAAAAAATAAATAAATACATAATAATATTAATAATAATAAATATATATAATTTTTAGGGGTTATAAGTAATCTTCCAGCAAAAAATACTGATTTAAACTTGTATAAAAAAATTGCTAAAAAATGTTTGATCTTCAAGTGGTTATTTTTGTACAAAAAAAAGCACTTTAGGCCTGAACTAGCCACGGCTGAATTCAAGCAGTGTACATGGAAAGTGCAGAGTCCTGGAAGTGCCCCTGCGGAGTACAATACCCCATTACCAATCTCAATGACCATGCACAGCACCACAAGGCTCTCCTGCCCACTCACCTCCCCAGTAGTCCGCATCTCATAATACCCTGATTTCTAATATATTTGCAAGAAGGAAATACTTCACAAACTCCTAATCTCATTCTTGTGAAGGTCTTTAGATATATTGGCTTGTTGAGATGTGACTGCGCCTTTCTTACCTGGATTATAATGGTGTACAGTAAAATGACGAGAAAGAGAATTTCGGCCCCAAGCTGCAAAGTCACCGTCTTGTCAGTGGTCGTGTAAAGTTGCATGATCTGCAGGTCAAGGGATGGCATTAGTCCTCCTGTGATAGGAACAAGGGTTACATTCAGTTAGAAGGCACCAGCAGAACACATAATAGTGAATTCTAAGCAAATAGTAAGGACACAATTAAAATACAAGAATTGAAGGTAATTTACCCGCAGAACGATGTGTGGTCAGTTTTGTGGTCCAAGGACCCCTGTTGCACAACACAGACAGGTCCCTGCCCGCTACTTAGGTGGCAACACACGTTGGTCAAAAACACCCCCCAGCTTACTGATTGGACGATAAAGGAGCTGTGGCACACTCATAAGGCCATCCCTCTTCTTTCTCCTCTCTCTCCCCATCGGCATCAACTGACCTGTATATAGAGCTGTCACCCCCCCACTCAACATGCTGGTTAGACAGCAAAGGAAGAGCGGCACACTGATGAGGTCTTTCTGTGCTCTTCTTTTACTGTAGGTTCACACCAGGGGCGGAAGGACACAGGGGCCCCATGATCCCCTATTGCCCAGGGGCCCCATGAGTTGTCAGTCCACCCCTGGTTCACACCTAAGCATTTTCTGCAGAAACGCACTACAGTCCATTTAACATGATTTCCTATGGGACACATTCACATCTCCATATTTACACGTATACAAAATTATCTATCTTTTTATATAAAATTTTTTTAGAATTTATTTGATTATAACACTTTATTAGGTCCACCTGTTCAGTTGCTTGGTAACAAATTGCTAATCAGCCAATCACATGGCAGCAACATCATGCATTTAGGCATCTAGACATGGTGAAGACAGCTTGATGAAGTTCCAACCAAACAGAATGGGGAAGAAAGGGGATTAAAGTGACTGTGAATGTGGCATGGTTGTTGGTGCCAGATGGGCTGGACTGAGTATTTGAAAAACTGCTAATGTACTGGGATTTTCACTCACATCCATTTCTAGGGAAATCCAGACTCATCAGACCAGTCAACGTTTTTCCAATCTTCTATTGTCCAATTCTGGTGTGCCTATGCGAATTGTTGCCTCCGTTTTCTGTTCTCAGCTGACAGGAGTGGCATCCGGAGTGGTGTTCTGCTGCTGTAGCCCATCTGCTTCAAAGTTTGACATGCTGTGCGTTCAGAGATGGTATTCTGCATACCTTGGTTGTAATGAGTGGTTTTTTTTGAGTTACTGTTGCCTTTCTAATATTATCATCTATCGTGCTGATCTACCGGGCTTTTCACGTGCACAACTATCTCTAGGGTTTACAGAGAATGGTCCAAAAAAGGGAAAATATCCAGTGAGCGGTAGATGTGCGAAGGAAAATGCCTTGTTGATGTCAGAGGTTAGAGGAGAATGGGCAGACTGGTCCGAAATGATAGAAAGGCAACAGTAACAACTGCAAATCACTGGATATTTTCTCTTTTTCACGCACAACCATCTCTAGGATTTACAGAGAATGGTCCAAAAAAACGGAAAATATCCAGTGAGCGGCAGTTGTGTGGAGGAAAATGTTTTGTTGATGTCAGAGGTCAGAGGAGAATGGGCAGACTGGTCTGAGATGATAGAAAGGCAATGGTAACAACTGCCACTCACTGATTATTTTCTCTTTTTCGGACCATTCTCTTTCGATACCGCCTCGTATTTGTTTTGTGTTGTTTTGGGTACTGGCTCTGATCCAAAACTACATATCCTGTTCCCTGTACCTACCTACATTATATCTGTCTTGAATTCAGCTATAAAGAGGAATAAAGGCTTTTAGCTGTTACTTTACCGATCACAGTGGTCTCAAGGATAAAGGTCGCAATGGCAAAGAGGTTGATGTTGGCATTGTAGACATTGAACTCCAGAAAAAAATTACTTTGGTAAGGCTGTCCAGCCAATTGCTGCTTTCCAGCTGGTTAAGAATACTGTAGAATAATACAGAAAGGTAAAAATTAATTATGTTTTGATGCCATCTGGGTGAAAAAATGATATATATATGAGCTGAATGGTTTGTTATAGATGTCAGCACTGGCTGAGCCTTCCATCGCCTTCCATCACCTTCCATTGGCCTGAATGCAGCATGTGAGATTTAGCCCGTGTTACCCCACTGATTTACAAGGTTCCCCCAGCAGATTGTCAAAGATGCATAGACTAAAGCCCTGGTGCCAAATCTCTGGCCCTTTGGTATGTGACCTCAGCAGTTTGTAGTGGGAACATTGATTAGGGGAATAGCCATGATCTCTACCAGCCTCAAGTAACATGTTCCCAGTTCCGTATTGTCTTCTGCAGCATATACCCAACCAGCAATGGGGTTGATTTTCTAAAGGCAATTAGACTGTGCACTCTGCAAGTGAAGTTGCTCTAGAGCAAATGTCTCCAAACCCTGGGGCCAAATGTGCCCTTTACTTGCTTTCATCTGGCCCTTGGACCATTATTCCCCCCACTGTCAGCAACATAGTACCTGCCACTGAGGCCAACAGTGAGGCACTATTCCTCTCATGGACACCAACTATAGGGCACTATTCCTCCCACAGACACCAACAATGGGGCACATTTCCTCCCACAGACACCAACGATAGGGCACTTTTCCTCCCACGGACACAAACAATGGGGCACTATTCCTTTCATGGACACCAACGATGGGACACTATTCCTTTCACGGACACCAATGATGGGGCACTATTCCTCCCACGGACACCAACGATTGGGTACTATTCCATCCACGGACACCAACGATGGGACACTATTCCTCTCATGGACACCAACGATGGGGCATTATTCCTCCCACTGATACCAACGATGGGGCACTATTCCATCCACAGACACCAACGATAGGGCACTATTCCTCCCATAGACACAAACGATGGGGCACTATTCCATCCACGGACACCAACGATGGGGCACTATTCCTCCCACGGACACCAACGATTGGGTACTATTCCATCCACGAACACCAACGATGGGACGCTATTCCTCTCATGGACACCAACGATGGGGCATTATTCCTCCCACTGACACCAACGATGGGACACTATTCCATCCACGGACACCCACGATGGGACACTATTCCTTGGACACCAACGGTAGGGCACTATTCCTCCCACGGACACCAACGATGGGACACTATTCCTCTCATGGACACGAACGATACTATTCCATCCACGGACACCAACGATGGGACACTATTCCTCTCATGGACACGAACGATACTATTCCATCCACGGACACCAACGATGGGACACTATTCCTCTCATGGACACCAACGATGGGGCATTATTCCTCCCACTGACACCAACGATGGGGCACTATTCCTCTCATGGACACCAACGATGGGGCACTATTCCTCCGACGGAACACAAACGATGGGGAACTATTCTTCCCACTGACACCAATAATGGAACACTATTCCTCCCACTGACACCAATAATGGGCCACTATTCCTCCAACTGACACCAATAATGGGGCACTATTCCTTCCCCTAATGCCAAACGTGGCGATGTTTACTCCCACTGATACCAGGAAAATTTCCACTATTGCGGGCCACATTCCGTCCCCCCTAATGTTTGAAATACAATAAACTGGCCCTTTATTTAGAAGGTTTGGAGACCCCTGGTTTAGTGTATCCCTATTGTCAAGGCTCATTTGGGTTAGGCAGCGTGTGCACGTGTGTTGTATGTATGCATGTCTGTAATACTCTGTATGTCTTGTATCGTGTTCCTACAACTGTAGGTAGTTTGTATGTAGAGCATTCTTGTTTATTAGGCACAATAATATACTACAATGGTTTCTAATTCCTCGCTTTACTGCAAAGTGACCTAAAAGATACAAAAGAACAATGTATCCCCCCGTGGTTTATGTACAGTCCACACTGTATCCGTGTCATACCTGTCTGCAGATGTACTGTTCAGGCCTAGCTCTGAAGTATAGCCTCCTCCGGAGTAGTACCCGAGCTGCGCCCAGATAGGATACCCTTCGAGGTCCTCTTCTGAGTAGTGTGACCACATGTCCTTTGGGGTGTCATTGCTGCTGAGAGTGCTCCACCCAGGACTGTAGCTGCTGGTGTCCTCCGAGTCATACAGGTTGGATTCTCCAGCACTGGCGGGGACCCTCCGCAGCTGCCGGATTCGGGGACTGCCCATGAGGAAGCAGTTCCCATCTGTAATAAAGCCTGGAGCAATGCAACAGAACACAGAAATTAGGAAAAATGCAGACAAATGTCCCAGCCTCCTCCCATTCTTGTTTTAATACCCCATTTATTTGTGAATTTATTTGTACACGGAGGCCACCATACTTATTACATACTCGGGCTCAGCTTCCTACTTTGTAGCACTACACAATGGTGGTGCTTTGCTCTCCTTTTCAGTTTTGCAAGTCAAATTTTCCAGTTCACTGAAAACAATACACTCCCTATGTGGCTGATCTCTTATGTCCATACTTATTACATACTCAGGTTCCGCTTCCTACTTTGTAGTGCTACATAATGGTGGTGCTTTGCTCTCCTTTTCAATTTTCCAAGTAAAAATTTCCAGCTCACTGAAAACAATACACTCCCTATGTGGTTGATCTCTGATGTCCATATTTATTACATTTTCGGGCTCTGATTCCTACTTAGTAGTGCTACACAATGGTAGTGCTTTGCTCTCCTTCTCAGTTTTGCAAGTCAATAAATCTTCCAGCTCACTGAAAACAATACACTCCCTATGTGGATGATTGCTTATGTCCAAACTTATTACATGCTCGGGCTCCGCTTCCTTCTTTGTAGTACTACACAATGGTGGTGCTTGGCTCTCCTTTTCAATTTTGTAAGTCAATAAATCTTCTGGCTCATTGAAAACAATACACTTCCTATGTGGCTTATCTCTTATGTTTATACTTATTACATACTTGGGCTCCACTTCCTACTTTGTAGTGCTACACAATGGTGGTGCTTTGCTGTCCTTCTCAATTTTGCAAGTCAATAAATTTTCCAGCTCACTGAAAACAATACACTCCCTATGTGGCTGATCTCTTATGTCGATACTTATTACCTACATGGGCTCCGCTTCCTTCTTTGTAGTACCTCCAATGGTGGTGCTTTGCTATCCTTCTCAATTTTGCAAGTCAATAAATCTTTCAGCTCATGGGAACAGGGGCGGACTGACAACTCATGGGGCCCCTGGGCAATAGGGGATCATGGGGCCCCTGTGTCCTTGCCCAAACTCAAAAAAGCCTATGAAAAAGGTACCAGGGGCATCTCATGGGGCCCCCTACTGACCCTGGGCCCTCGGGCAGTGCCCAAGTTTCCAAATGGTCAGTCCGCCCCTGCATGGGAACCAATACACTCCCTATGTGGCTGATCTCTTATGTCCATACTTATTACATACTCGGGCTCCGCTTCCTACTTTGCACAGTATAAAGTCCAGGCATCTAGAGGTACCTGCACATACCTGCAGCAGCCTCCCCCAAACCTACTGTTACCTGTGTTGTTGGAAGTTGGTGCACCCCTACACTATCATTGCTCCCCCTACAGGTCACATGACGCACTCACCTGGGTACTGCCCGTACAGGTTGGGCAACAAAGTGCCTCTTGACCAGCTGTAAAAGTCAGAGATGGCTCCAATGGTGGAATAGGACCCCGTGAAGCTTGTACTGATCGCTCTGTGTAAATTGTAATCGTTCCCCTTGTCAGCGTAGGCCGTGATCATAGTGGTGATGAGCAATATCAGGCTCACTGTGGATACAGAAAAACAAGCATGGCGACTCGGCTCACTTGTAAGGTTCCAAAAGCCAACAAAAGTCATTTTAGAAAATGCATCGCTTGAAAAGAAAAAGCTGCGTTTGGCTTGCTTTTCCTGCAGCTCAATAGGATATGCTGCGTCCAAAGAAATACGACACACAGCGGAACAAATGCTGGACCACCATGTCTACTGTTCCTGGGAAGTCAGTGGAATTTTGCTGACCTGCGTCTGATACGCGTTCCAAAATTGACAGGAGTCCTAACACCCCGGTCACATCAAACCCTGTCTTAATCAGTACAATGTGAAGTAGCACAGTTTCAAAAATAGCTCCCGCGCTACTTTTTTTTTCTCTGATCTCGTTGTGACTTGCATTGATTTCTGTTAAAGGAAGTTGCAAGCCACGGTGAAATTGGAGGTACAAATTGCACCGATCAACAGCTTTGAAGTAGTGCAGTTTCAGAGTTGCATTCAGTGTGATCCAAGGCTTAATCACTTCTAAGGGGATGCAGACGCTGCAACTTTTCTCACCAGAAAACCTTGAGCCCGGGTTCACACTGATGCGGTGCGGAATTCGCAGTGGTTTCTGTGCGAATCCCGCACCGCATCACAATCAACCAACAGATCAATGGGGTCAGTGGGAACTTATCTGAGAAGCAGAAATTGCTCATTGCTCTAGGAGCCCCCAACAACCCTCTGGAGGAACCCTAGACTTCCATGGAACCCTGGTTGAGGAATTCTAGACTTCCATGGAACCCTGGTTGAGGAACCCTAGACTTTCATGGAACCCTGGTTGAGGAACCCTAGACGTCCATGGAACCCTGGTTGAAGAACCCTAGACTTCCATGGAAATCCCTGGCTGAGGAACCCTAGACATCCATGGAGCCCTGGTTGAAGAACACTAGACTTCCATGGAACCCTGGTTGAGGAACCTTAGACTTCCATGGAACCCTGGCTGAGGAACCCGAGACTTTCATGGAAACCTCGTTGAAGAACCTTAGACTTCCATGGAACCCTGTTTGAGGAATCCTAGACTTCCATGGAACCCTGGTTGAGGAATCCTAGACTTCCATGGAACCCTGGTTGAGGAACCCTAGACTTTCATGGAACCCTGGTTGAGGAACCCTAGACTTCCATAAAACCCTGGCTGAGGAATCCTAGACTTCCATGGAGCCCTGGCTGAGGAACCCTAGACGTCCATGGAACCCTGGCTGAGGAACACTAGACTTCCATGGAGCCCTGGTTGAAGAACCCTAGACTTCCATGGAACCCTGGTTGAAGAACCCTAGACTTCCATGGAGCCCTGGGTGAGGAACTGTAGACTTCCATGGAACCCTGGTTGAGGAACCCTGCCTTAAAGCATTTGCTTGAACTTCTACTCCACCACCATCCTTTTATACCAATGACATTACCTTCATGTTGATGAATAGGCTTCCTACTATAAATTTAAATGAATACCCTGTAAAGACGATGTTGTTCTTTTTCACTTTTAATAAGCCAGAAACGTTGATCAATTTTCATACCGACAATGTCATGGATTAACTTGTAAAGCTTCCGCTCCATCAGCTTCTGTTTCTTCAGACTGGTGGTGTTCTTGTTTGGTGGAGCGCAGTAGACCGGGTTGGTCGGGTCTCTGCAACCTGACAGCTCCCAGTCTGGGCGACTTGCTGCAAAAGAGGAAGCAATCAATGTAAAGTAAATTATTGCAAGTTCTCATTCAACAAGAATGTAGATATCTTAAAAATAAAGTCAATAAATAAATAAATAAAATCAATAAATTTAATAAATTTATAAATAAAATCAATCTTCCCGATTGATTAAATTTATTGAGTGAGCAAGGCGTGCAGATAAAATAGCTTACGCGTTCCAGCAATAAGCCATAGGGGTTGTTCCCATTTGATGTCTTTCCAAATGCCCCTATAGCGTTTGACAGACGTTAGGCAGGCAATTGGGAAGCATTTTTAAAGCTCATTAAATG